GTCTCCGGAGGTGCGGCAGTTCTCGAGCGGAGCCCGCGGGAGTCTCCGCGGGGGCGGTCCCGGGGGCCAGAGGCAGCGGGCTGGCGGCCGGGGAGACGCTGACGCCCTGCAGGACCTCCTGGAGCTGGCCGGGGAAGGACTCACGCTCACGCAGTGGAACCTGGACATCGGGCGGCCGGAGCGGCCGGGTGAGGGCTGCTTTGCAACGGCCAGCGCAAGCCCCCGGGGTGGGATCGGGTGCCCAGAGGGCCGTAAAGGACTAGGCTGCTTGTAGGGACGGGAACATCACTGGATCTCGACGGGGCGGCGCAGCGTTTTAAGCCTTACATTTGACGTTCTGTAAGCTGCCGCGAGGCTATGGGAATTAATGGTGTAGAGGGCCAAATAAATTAATAAAATAAGCATCACCTTGGAGAGAGGTCTTTCTTTTTGGAGAAATGTTTCTGTGTGCGGAATGGTCTTGGTCTAAAAATAAGGTATTATTCTCTGCTAAACCTTATCCCCCTTGAAGACTGTTCTGTGATGTCTGAGGCCCAACAGGAAGGGAACAGAGCCCAAGGAAATTTGCCAGGATATAACCAACATTTTTGATTTGTACTCACCTATAACAATGGTGGTAATTCTGGGCCAGGTTTATATTAATGATGATGGTGATGATTTTTTTTGTAGAGCAAGAACAGATGCCAGGTGTTCTGCAAAATGCTTTTATTCGGTTATCGGAGCAGCAGCAACAGCAACTATCCCGAAAACGCTCTCGTGAAACAGTAAGGATAGAATTGTATGCATAGGGTACATAGATGCAGAATAACGTTGAGAATCCCCCCAAATGCAGCAGGGCAAGCTCTGCAGTTCCTTTGCAGCACCATAATAGGAGCAAAGGAATAACTGGGTTCCTATATTATGTAAAATGCTATTTCTGTTTATTGAATATAGATCATCTGAAGACTCTGGGATTAGGCAGGTGTGTGACCTGCAGTCAGTCCTTTTCCCAAACCTTCCTTTTTTAATGGAAGGCTTAATTTTTTTGAACGAGGAGTTTAACCTCTTCTATCTGCTTGTGGGCCAAGGAAGAGAAACTTGATTTTTTCCTGTTTCCTGTTCTAGTTCCCCCTTGGCTCACTGGCTGCTGCCTTCAAGGAGATGGTCAACAACCCCCATTTGAGCGATATCCAGATCCAGGTGGACAGCGGGGAAGTCTTCTATGCCCATATGTTTGTACTGTATGCACGGTGTCCTCAGCTTTTACAATTTGTAAGTACCCATCAAAATATTTAAGGGATGTGCATTCTAAAAACTTAACATTGTTTATGGTTGATTGTTGTTCTGGATCCAGATTTGTAGACTGCTTCCAATATCTCATCCATAGGAGCGGAATTCTAGTGAGGGACACGCCAGTTATTTCGCTTGTCAGTTATAGAGGACTGCAGCCAATGAACCCAACTTTTGAAGGGTGGCTGTAGGCAGCAGGATTAACCAGAGATCTTAGAACAAAGTTATTCCTGTAAGCAGCAACTAGCCATGCCTTACAATAGGCCAGTGCAAAATAAAGTCAATTCAGCAAGATGGAGGCTGTAAGAGCAGAAAAAAAGAGTGCATCAATTGGAGGGGCTTGATGAAAAGAAGTCAGTTGAATTTTACAGATCTAACTGGAGGAAAATAACAGAGTGGAACAAAGGAACTTTGGCTAGCTTACAGGGCACTGATGTTGGTGTTGTTCGGTTATGTTGCAAAAAAAAAATTGCTCTTGTGCTTCAAAATATAAACACTTAGGCAGAAGAACTTTTGATTGGCAGACTGCCACACTTGGAAGCCATTTTTTTTATGGTGGCAGAAAGCCTAATACTTTTGAATGCCTGCACTATAGAACAGTTTTCACATGTGAGAGGAAGGTTTGAAAGAAGCAGGGAAAGAAGCTTGGGTTCTGATTGCTGCTGCAGAGATCTGTGTCTTTTTCTGTTCTGCTACCAGGTTGACCATAGAAGTTTTGTGGTGGCTGAAGATGGAGAAGTTGGAGTCTGCCGTGTACTGTTGCATGATGCTTCGGGGGAGGCTGTTGCTCTGTTTTTGAACTACCTCTACGCAGCTGAGCATTTCATGCCTCAGCATTTGCTGTCAGGTGTGGCTGACCTGGCAATAAGGTTGGTGTGTTGATGCTTTAGGGCATTTGCTTGGCTGGAAATCGTTGTGAAACTTACTGTACAGCAATTTTGAACAGAGCTCATTCTGGCTTGCTGTATAAAGCATGAATAAGAGTTCCATTATCTTACGTCATGGACTGTATTGTGTACGGGAGAAAGACCATTTACGTATATTTGCATGGTTGCAGGTTTGGAGTGAATGAATTGGCTGTTCTGTGTGAAGGCCAGCGTAGCGAAGGGATATCTGTAGAAAAGTCAGCCAATGCCAAAGACAGAGCTGGAACTTTTGAGGAACTCCTGAATTCCATGTGGCAAGATGAAGATGAAGAAACTGCACCAAAATCTGTATGCAGAGATGAAATCAGTGACAATATGAATGAGCAGGAACTGGAGGAAATTTATGAGTTTGTGGCTACCCAGCGCAGAATGACCCCTGATGAAGTGAGGAAGGAAAAGGTCTGCATTGAATGTAGACATGATGGAGAAAAGAAGATTGGCCAGGATGGTGGTTCATGCCCAAAAAAGATACTGGAGAAGCCCACAAGAGGCATGGCAATTAAGGAAGGTGAAATAAAATGCGATGCATCCAAATTGAAAAATTCTATTGCCAGCATGGAAAAGGATCTGAGAAAGTTTTCTATTGAGTTCCAGCAAGTTTTTAAGGAAATAGTGCCCTTTAGAGACGATACTAGAAAAGAACCCACACACGAGGTTCTTTCTGGTTTAGCTGCGGTTTCCAGTCAGAGAAATCACCTGGAGAGTTCTGCAAACCAATTTTCTGTCTCAGAAATGAAATGTTCTCTCTGGGAGCCGAGTATTGACATAGCCGTAAAAGAAACCACAACAAGAAATTTTCCAAGATTTTTTCACGTGCCAGCAAAAGATCTCCAGATGACTTTGTCAAGGGACCTCGAATCTCCTTTCTCTCTGCTTACATCTGCATCACAACCAAATATATTAGACAGGCTTCCCTCTCAAAAAGAAAAGCAAGAGAATATAAAGAGGAAGGGAAAGCCTCCTGTCAGCAGCCTGGAGAAGCCTGGTGGAGTGAGTCCTCATCTGAATGTTCAGAGGGACCATATTGTGGTATTGGATTCTGATGAAGAGCTGGAATGGGAGGCAGGAAAGAAACAGACAGAGGCTACTTCAGGCTTCTCTAGACAACAGTCATGGCATAAAGTGAGCCCTGTTGCAGATGTCCTGAATTGCAGGAGCCCATCCCCTCCCCAACAGGGTGTGAGTAAAGCGGGTGATTGGTTGGGCACACTAGTTTGTGATGAGGCACAGTCTTTGGGTGAAAGACATCAGCCCTTGAATCTCAGTAGTCACAAAGAAGGCAGCTGCTGGGAAAATTTGGGCTGGAGTGAAGGAAAGACATTGGTGGTGCCTGAAACTCCTCTGTCCACCTGGAATAGCTTGCATGACATGCAGGTTGAAAAATCCAGGTTGAATTCTGGCCTTGAAAAGCAGCGGACTCATGAAACCCAGACAAGACAATTATCTTGCAGCTATACACCTCTGCCAGTGCTTTCATCTACCTCTTCACTTGAAACAGTGAAGCCTGACAATGGCCTATATGCAGCAGAGAGAGATGTGGTGGTTGTGGATGACAGTGAGGAGGAGCAGTTAGCAGTGCCACCATTATCAAGGGGCCTCTTTGCAGAACCTTTGGAGGTAATAACTATAAATGCCAGAAATCCTTTGGGGCCTTCAGTGCACATGTTCGATGTACAGGACAATCACCCTGTTACTGGTGGTGGTAGTATAGCTAATTCAGCAGCCACGTTCCATTTTGGAGTGGGAGATTTGCTATTGCACAACTCTCAGAATTGTTCTGGAGAAGACTCTGACAGAAGTGAAGCTCTTCCTGTCTCCCAAAGTTTGTCTGCTTCCATACCTGTTCCAAAGATTTCTGGTAAGTTGCTGCTTTGGGTTAGTTATGACAAGCTCTTTGACAGATAAGCCTACTTTGTAACATGGCCAAAAAAATGAGAGCACTTTTCCTGCCTGTTACTTAGCTACCTGTCAAGCCCTTTGAAGCTCAATGAACAATCACACTGAAGCACAAGACCAGAATCCTTGAAACTGGCTGAGCTTCATTTGGCACTGGGCCTCTACTCAGTTTGGCAAAAGATAGTGATCTCCCTCGTGCTCCCTGCTAGTTTAGATGAGCCCTTTTTCCTGTAGATCCTGGGAGGGGAGCAACAATCTGGAAACCCAGTTTTGGCTTCCTCCTTCTAAAGTGCTTATCTAATTAATTGTTTTAAACTTTAAAAAAATTAGCATGATGGGAATGTCTGTCTCACAGCTGTTTTTCCAGAACTTTTGGGTGATTTCACGATGGACCACTAACCAATACATACAGTGGTGGTATGCAGGTTTTGCAGCAGAGTGTTGCCTGCGTGGCTGACTTGATTCGGTTCCCTTTTGATCTGCTACAGATCTTGCCTGCCAAGTCAGGGAAGAAGCCTCTTGCATTACTCCGCTGATGCCCTTGCCACCTTATTCAAACATGGACACCCCGGAGCTGAAGAAGGCACTGAGCAGGTGGGTGCTGTCAGGATTGAAGCAGGTTCCTCCCTTAGGCAAGAATTTACAAAATGCACCTTACTGATTATGCTTACTTGCCAATTGTGGTTTTGCCACCATTTCTTCTTAGGTTTGGTGTCCGTGCTCTCCCAAAGCAGCAGATGGTTTTAAAACTGAAGGAAATTTTTCAGTTTACTCACCAACAGGCAGGAACCAACTCCAAGAAAAAGGCTATGCCGATTGCTACCAGTTCCTTTCAGAAGCTGCAGCGAAAATTTGTATCCCCTTATCAGATGCTTCAGGGGAGCCAAAATACAAATGGCTTTACAGATATCTCTGAAGGAGGTAATCAGAGGCCAGAGGCTGGATTTGGGTGGCCAAAGGGAGCAACTGTTCCTGCAAACAGATTAACTACTGGAGGTGGCACTGGAGACCTAATCCTTACATCTTCTCAAGAGTCAGCTGGATCATCAGATGGAAGTGAGAGTTGTGCAACATCTCAGAGGTATGGGACAGTTTTGAAGCAGTGTGTTCATTCTTTCATTCTGAGTTTTTAGGCTGATAGTATGCATTGCCAGATGTTGAGGCATGAAGGCAAAAACTTTGCTTAGAAAAATCACCTCCCCCCCCCGTCCTCAGACAGCCATATTCTCTACTCTTATTTAACCTTAAGTGAGGATAAGATTGAACTGATGCTGTGTAGTGGACATGAGTACCCTTGACTTGGGTTATATGCTAGAGTTTTTTTAAAAAATAAGGTAAGTTGCCTTTTCCTTTCTCATCCTATTCCTAGTTCTTCAACTGAGTTTGAAATCAGCATGCTGGGAGAGAAAGAGGAAGACGTCCCAGCCTCTCAGACTGCAGAGAGCGGTGAGGTGCAGAAATTGGAAATCTTGAAGCACTATATTCATTCCAGCCCATCTCTTTGCCAGCAAATTCTGCTGTACCAGCCCATTGAACTGTCTGTATTGCATGCAGAACTGAAGCAAAATGGCATAAGGATTGCATTGGACAAGTTATTGGACTTTTTGGATGCCAGCTGCATCACATTTACAACTGCAGACGCTCGGAGAGAAAAGAAACAGCACCTCCATAGATCCAAGAAAAAGGGGCAAAGGTGACGCTGAGCTCTTTGGATGTGGCATTCTCCCAAAAGATGAACTCCTGGAGGTTTCTTGCTTTGCAACTTTCCAGTCAGCTGCCACCTCTCCTTTTTCATATTTATATATTTTTCTTTGCTCTATCCTATTTTGTTTTTTGGCAAAATCATCCGTGTTAGGGTTTGTAGTGAGTTTGATCCCTTTTGACCAAACTTTGGCTTCGGGCAGTGGATAGCTCGCATCCCAAGAGCAGCTTTGAAAAAATGATTTGATTTGATTGCAGTGGCAGTCTTCAGTCCACTTTCCCACTGGCTTAGATATGGATTGTCCTAGTTTGGTAATAAAAGACTTTGTTTTCTAAGGATTTAAATATCTTTCTACAGACTACAGCTGAAATTAAGTTACTCAAACTTAATTTGGCTGAGTTAGTCAACTGCTTAGTTGCTCAAATAGCAGATTTCGAGGAGTTGCTATATGTCAGAGTTGGCCACTTGCAACACCCGTTCTTAGAGTTGCATTGAATCCTGATGAGTGATTTCAGCATGCCTGTTGGGAACAATCCATTAACACCTAGAAGTCTCTTCAGCACATCCTTTCCCCAGGTATAAAATACAGGGCTATGGCTGGCTGATGGGGGAGGAAAAACTTACTCAACTTCGAAGTTTATGCGGCCTGAGACTACCACCCAAGTAATTCACTGCGAAATTGTCTCCCAGGAGTTGCTTGCTGTGGTGGTTAAAAAAAAAAAAAAAGCAAAGCTGGGGAGAAGAGAGAAGCTGCGTTTAGCAAGATGCAGATGATGTGAGAGGGCAAAATTTTTACTGACCGTACTCTAAACTCTTGCTTCTCAAACACTTGGGCAGCCAGGAGCCAAAACTGTTAAAACTTGCATTTAGAGATAGTAATGCATGACTGCCTAACTATATTATTGCTTTTCATTTCTTACTTTCCCCCATGTTAAAAAAGCAAAGCAATTATGTTATTAAATTGAGCAAATCTATTTTAAGCATCAGTCTGTTCCCAACATTGCAACATCTTTTGTTAACTGCCCAGAGTAATGTATATGAGATGGGCAGCCATGCAAGTTAAACAAACAATGTCATGTCCCCACATAGGAGGGTTTTACATGACTTCCATATCCCCCCTCCTCAGGAGGATGGATTTCTCTGTACTTATACAGTGTATATCCTGTGTGGTGGTTTCAGTTACACTGAAATTGTAATACATTAAATACAGTTAAATTGTTTTCAATTACAGTACATGGCAAAACTGGTCACATACTGCTTCCTAGTGATTGTTGAATGTATGAGGCAGAGTTAAGCTGCCCAATTCTGCTCTCTTCAAAAGCCATCCTCAGATGAAGAATGACAGATAAATGCTTGTAGATAGTATAGAAAGATACTGTCTTGCCCCTTCTGAATAACGTCGTGTAGTTTTTTTCATTGTTATGACACAGAAAACCCTGTTCTTTGATTTTACTTTAGGAAGCATCTGTTTCTGTTTTCAGTCAAACTGGTGAACCTTCCCTAAAGCAACTTTTTAAAAAGCAAATACTGGTAACTTTCAGTTAATTCTTATGAATTAGTACAGAAAAGTATTAGTGGGAGTAATAAAAGTATTACTCTTTAGTACCTCAAAGAGTTCTGTAAAGTAGAGAGTACTACTGCTTACTGAATGCCTTTCAGTGAACACAGTCTTATTGATCTACCTATACTCACACAGGCACACGCTCAAATAAAAACTGAACATGTAAAATCTTACATGGATTTTAAAGGACAGAAACATGTTAAAAACTTCAGTAATTTATATCACTTTTAAGCAATACTTTATATACAATGGAAAAAAGACATGCATAGTCCAAATACAATGTTGAAAACAGCATTTTCATAACAAAAAAAATAATCCAAACACTAAGTTAATACCATGTACATGAATTCAAGGACATCCTTTTTGTCTGTTGCACACAGTTTATTTAACAATATGCTATAGAAGTAAGAAATGAGTTTGTTCCCCCCTCTATACAGTGATTGAATCTTGAATTGTTCATATTTATAGTAATTATAGAGTTTGCATGATTTACACTATAATTGCTTTTCCTCAGTTCAAGTTCACATCAAAGAATTACAGAATACACTTCTTCCCTGTTAAAATTAACATGTCCTAAGTAGTGAGTGTCCCTATTTTTTTAAATCTAAAACCAGTTTTATCAGAGAAACAAGCAACAATTTCTACATCTGCAATGTGTGTGTGTGTGCAAGAGTCAGTTCCTATCTTTCCCAGGGGTAATAATACTTAGGATACCTGCAAAATTCAGAATAGAATAAGACTAAAACAAAACAAAACTTTCTGCCAAATGTCAGAAACTTAGCAGGATACATTAGAATGTGAATATTTTTCTTCTCTGCTAAACACCACTGCTTAGTCTTGAAAGTACAAATAAAAATATGAATATAATGGACTCGTTTTCCCCTTTAAAAAAGTAAAGTCAACAGTAACAACTAAAAAAAACAAAAAAGAAAAAAAACCCACAACAAGGAGACCAGATATTTTAACCACACCTGGCTGGCTTTAACAAAAAAATATATATTCTCTTTTTTAAACAGCCATTCATCCATTCACAAGTAGAGGATGAATTAGTCCCATCTAGGGTTTAGCTCAAACTAGAAGTCTTTGTGTTTTTTTCAGTTCAAGAAGTCCAGGAACACGAGAGAAGCTGTGATGCTACAAGCCCTCCACAAATTTTTCTAGCGTGTCACCTCCTGTGGCATCGCCAACCAGGGACAGCTCATTTGGTAACACGTTCCTGTTTGGGGGGTTGAGCTGGGGAAGCATTGCACTCTGCTCTGGGTTGCCCAGGTGTCCCTGTTCCATGGAGCCAGCCATTGTAACAGCCAACCCAGGGTGAGGGGAGCCAGTCTGGGGTGAGGCATGGTGAGGAGAGGGCTGGGGCTGTATCCTGGGGGATGGACTGGAATGTGGTGGCTGGGATTGAGGCCGGGGGGACTGAACAGGTGCTGGAGAGCGCACCTGGCTGCTGAGGGAGGTGCTGATCGGTTGGCCAGGGAGGTGTGATGTGGGGGCTTGTCCTGAGAGCAGATGCTGTTGGGGGCTCATGGGATTGGGCTGGCCTGGGGAGCCAATCTGCGATTTAAGCTGCTGCTGCTGCTGCTGTTGCTGTTGCAGGAGTCGCTGCTGCAGAGCTTGCTGAATGTTAGGGCTGCTGTCAGCTCCGATGGCTGGCTGCCCCATCGGATTCAGCTGCCCCATCTGAGCTAACTGGCCCATGGCCCCTGCTTGGATTGAGAGATGTTGCTGTTGCATCCGCTGCTGCTGCATGGCTTGTGTGTAACCTCCAGGGCCTGGAGGCTGCTGGAACTGACTGTGAGTTGCCAGCCCGGCCCCTCCTTGCTGCTGCTGCTGCTGCTGCTGCAGTAATTGTCTTCTCAGGATCTCCCTGTACTGAGGACTCATGTTGGCCATAGCAGGATTGTGAGCTGGGTTCATGATGCTGATTGACTGGCCCTGTGCATTCAAGCCTCCTATGGCTGGTTGCTGGGGAGGAACACCTGGTCGCGGGACACCTGCTGGCAGTGCACTCATATTCTGCAGACCTGTCTGAGCGTGCAACCCTGCTGGTGGAGGTGGCTGCTGCAGTGGAGCTGGAGTCTGTTGCATGCCTGGCTGGGGCTGGGGCTGCATGCCAGGCTGATTTGCTACGTATTTGGCTGTTCTCTGCTTTATGAAAGCTGCCATAAGCTGCGGGTTCGACTTCAGAATATTCAGCACCTGTTGCTGCTGCTGCGGGGAACTGGGAGATTTCAAAGTCCGCAGTAACTCTTGCAAAGCGTTTGGAGGAATTGTTCGGGCTGGCGGCTGCACACCTGGCATTCTTGGACCAGTTACTGTTTGTTGGCCAGGCATGGGCATGACTGGCCTTGGTATTCCTGGCTGCTGCTGGGGCACTGGAGCTGACGACTGCCACTGCCCAGGCTGCAAGTTGGGCAATACTGGGCCACTCACTGAGTTAGGCCGGGGCATATTCATGCCAACCTGCTGCATGGGGTTCACCGCACCTACTGCTGTGTTCACCATTCCTGTTCGGCCTGGAGGCAAGCCATTGCTGCTCACCCTGTAGAGCTGCTGCTGCTGCTGCTGTTGCTGCTGCTGCTGCTGGGCTGCTTCAATTTCAATCTGCCGAGCTGCTTCCACAGCTCCTGGCGGAGGCTGGGCGGGTGGAGGGGGAGCAGTCACCTGCGTGGAAGGCTTGCCAGCTGAAATGGGAGGGGGAGCTGGAGTTCTTGTTGCACTAGGAAAACCAGCTGGTGACATATTAACAGGGGAAGGCTGGGGAGGGGGCTGTGGAGTCTGTGGGGTGCTTGGCTGCTGTGTTGGGGTCCCAGGCGTTGCTGAGGTAGGAGAAGGCAAATTTTGCTGAGGCACGTTTCGGGTGGTCATGGTTGCCATCCTGCGGCGTATCAACTGCGCCTGCTGCAGACGATGTTGGATCTGCTGCTGGCGGAGCTTATGTTTGATGTTGAGACAGAAGGGCACTGGGCATTTGTTCTCTTGGCAGTGTTTGGCATGGTAGCAACAAAGGGCAATCAACTGTTTGCACACAGGACAGCCTCCATTAGTCTTGCGCTTGCAGCCCTTGGTGTGCTGGACAACACGCTTCATTTTCTGGCAGGATGGCAACGAACAATTTGCATTGCGGCACTGACAAGCGTGCACTAAGGACTGAATGCATCGCTGGATGCTGAGGCGACGGGACTCCTGGGGACTCTTGGACTGCTGTTCTCCTTGGCTATTACCGTCATCGTCCAGGCCCAAGCCCCACTTCACCATCTTATGCTCATGGCTCTTGGTGTTATAGCAGTTAATGCAGAGGTCATAATCCTTAAAAGCAAAGTGAGAGACACTTAGAACAACAACCTACAATGTGAGAAAGGTTCAGTCTAACTTCACAAAGTCTCACTACTCTTTTCTGCAGGGGGACCACATGCATACATACTCAGGAGAGCCCAAGTTGAATGGTCATGCAGACCACTCCAGATACCTGAGAGAGTTCATCTGTCACAATTGTATTTCTGTTAATAAGTCATTCAATTATCAAGAACATAATGAAGGACATCAGTTGCCACTAATACAGAAGACAGCCTTGCTCAGACAATAGGATTCTTATAGGATTCCCACACAGAGAAGTGTTACTTTGTTCACTGTGTGAAACTGATGCTCAAATCATAATTGACCCACAGTCAGATATTATTACTATACTATACTATACTATACTATACTATACTATACTATACTATACTATACTATACTATACTATACTATACTATTATACTAATTATATTGTATTATATTAATATATTAACTGTATTACATTATTCTATTATTAAAGGTATGTTAAAAAGAAATGGCAGGTGTGCATGACAATTCAGACCTGGCATAGCATCCAAGCAGGTGACATACACTTACTTCACAGACTGTGCAATGCCACCGTGTTTCCACGTGATGTTTACATTCATTGCATGTATAAACAAAGCGATCCTGCCCCTGGGTGTGCAGCTCCACAAGCATGCACAAGGTGGACCACTTGGAGCGCCGCAACGAAGAAAACTCCCAGTGCTTGTCCCTTGCCAACGTGAGGAAGGCATCCCGACCATCCATCAAGTCACAACTGAGCAACGGGTCGGGGTCCACGATGGGGGGCAGGGTGTTGATGACTGGCCCAGCGTGCAAGTGAATTACAAAGAAGACCTGCAGGCATGAAGGCAAGGAAGAGGTGAGCACGAGAAAATCTCCACCAATGAGAACTAACACAGTTGCCAATGGTACCACACTGCTTAATGTGGCCTGAACCTCAGGGAAAGATCCCTCTGCTTCCTACAGAATATGCTCTATTACTTTTTGCAGCCCTTGGATCAACTTCCCCAGTGTGCTCCCTTTTTTATGGCATTAAATTATGCAAATGTGAATGCAGAAAAAGAAATGAGGAAGGTTTGGCCATAGTACCTCTTTATGCTTCTCCATTGTGGCGTATAACTTCTGAGACAAATCATTTGACACATTAGGCATGGAGGGTTTCTTCTTGTTGGCTCGGCTAAGGCTGCTCTTATTCTTGTTTGTTTTCTTATTATTCTTCTTTTTGGCATTCTTGCTGTCACCCTGGCTTCCCTGTCAAAACATCAGGAAGCTGTTCAAATGTTCTTCTTTCAAGGCATGTGTGAAGATAACATCTGCTTGCTAGGAGGAGTGGGCAAGGAAAAATTAGACAAGCTAAACAAAAATGGTTTCCCACAATACTCTGATTTTCTGTAAGAAAAATACACACCTCTCAGCAGGACTGTGTACAAAGAACCAACAGTCCCTGAACTGTAGAAGTAACATTCTTCCTTCTTGGAACAGAGGGAGTGGCCTATGCTTCTGGCCCATCAAGCCCAGAAAAACTGGCCAAGGTGACAATTAAAAAAAAAACCCAATAGACAAACATGGCTTTTATTTCATTTTAATTGAACTGATTCTCTTTGCAGCCTACCTGTGTTTTGCAGCTGCAAAAAAATCAAAATAAAAACTAAACTAAACTAAACTAAACTAAACTAAACTAAACTAAACTAAACTAAACTAAACTAAACTAAACAATTGCTTTACTCTTCCATGAATATCAACACTATAACAATGAATGCATACACTGTCAACTGCTCCAGAAACCTAATGTGAATTGGACATAAGAGCATGAACAGAATACAAATACAGGGCAAAGCCCAGTAAACCAACCAAAACCATTAACGTAGTAGTCATAATGACATTTGTACGCCCCTCCCTTTTTTAAAACTTTGCCTGACCTCCTTTCTTTTGCAGGCCACCTGCCTACAACAAAAAGGCAAACTTGAAGCACACATTTAATCCACTCACCTGAATTCTTTCCCACAGCAAATAATTTAAAAACAGCAACAGAGGCAGGCAGGCAAGCAGATGGGCAGAGGGCATCCTCTGCCATGTTGCTCCAGCACAACACCCTCCACATCATGCTTTCCAGCCTAAACTATCAGCACAATCAACCCATGATTGGAGGGGGCAGGGGGAGCCCAAGCTACAAAATCAAAGCTCAGTCTATTATTGGAACAGTTTGGACACCAGAAACACCACCAGCAAAACAACCAAATTGTGTTTTGAGCCTCCCTCAGCCATGGAAACCCACTGGATCAGTCACTTTCTCTTAGCACAAGCTCTCACAGAGTCTTGCTGTGGGGATAAAACGAAGGGAGCTGCCCCTGCATGCCACCTTGATCTTCTGAAAGGAAATATGGCATGTTACTGACAATTCTGTCAGATTGGGAGAGTTTGTCCTTTTGTTCTGCATTCCAAATAGCTCAACTGATCAATACTGTGGCCACATCACCCGTGAATTTAGTCACCTCTGTTGTTTCACTAGCTGCTGTGCTTTCTTCCTTTTTTCTTTCCTCCTCTTCCTGTTCCAGCTCCTTAATGCTCTCTTCTAACACATTGGGCCAAAAATCACCCTCAAAGTAGGGCAATTCCTTGGCACTTGTCAGCCGATCCTCAGTTGCTTGTTTGAAGATATCCTATAAAAAGATCACATACTGGTGTTAGTGGAGCAGCTAAGAGCAATGGCAGAAGTACAGCAGCTTTCAAACATCACATAAAATGAAACTATCTTAATATACCCATATTTGGTTTAAACAAGGGATGGCTTAAAATAATTTTCCTTGTTTCATTATGATTGTATGTATATTTACCATATCCAATGCCTTTGGTTTATCCAAACCTAAGACATGTACTGATGCTTAATTTTGGACTGACAGAGATCTAGAAAAAGCGTGATTGATTTACTCCCAGAATTGTAGCCATTCTAACTACCAATTTCCCTTTCAACTGGGGAGAGTGGTCTGCTGTCTAGATACTAATGTCTCCAGACACTCTTTGAGGAAATCCTCACCTTGTAATCATGAATGATCCTCTCTGCAAAGGCCTTGTCCAGCATCTTCTTGTACCACTCCTGTAGACGTTTAGGTTTGGGGATTTTTTGGTCAGGCGGGTGACAATGGAAGATGTAATCATCACCCTCACTTGGTGGGCAGGCCCAAATGTGGCCTGTAACATACCTGCGAGTTTCACACAAGCAAAACATCCCAGTTAAATAATAGTTTTGCCCAGAAATGGAGGCAGTCACCCTAACTGTTCAATTGCAGTAGAAAGGAGATTTAGATAACTAGCATTTACACTTAGTCATTCATTCATATCACCAGATACATTGCCTATGAGCAATGGTGGCAACAGCAGCTGCCATTGTTGATATCTTTTAAAAAAGAGCTGATCCTGCTTTCACAATCAGCATTCCCTTGAGGTTTGTGTAGCCCCAACAATGATGTTGTTCTTCATGAAGGCCATAAAGACAGGATCTTCCAAAGGCCCTGGGCCCTGGATTTGGAAAATCTAGGACTATTAGATTAATAGTCCTGCATTAAAATCCTGTATTCTCTGGATGGTGGTTTGCTATTTGGTTCATCTTTTATTGTTATATTCTGTTTGTAACTTGTCCTATATGCCACCTTGGTTATTTGACCATTTGACAACTGGACAGGACATTAATCTCTAGCTGTTTCTGGACCCAAGGCATTCTCTGCAGCACAACAGCATTGGCAATATTTTAATAAAAAATAATTTTAATATTTTAATCCACACAAAACCCATAGTTCGAGCAAATGCCAAGCATTGAGGGAAGCTAATTTTCTTTTTAATAATGTTGGATCTGCTTTCTGGAATAATAAAAAAAACCCCTCTTCTCTGGAAGAGGAAAAGACCCCAATCCAGTAAATATTACACACTATATAACTGATTCTTATTTTTATTGTCTTTCTCTTACAAGTGACTTCCTATGTATTTTTTTTTATTGTTGTGTTTAACTGATAACTGCCTTGTATATTGTGTGCTAGAAGGAAGGAAATAGATTTAGTTTTCCATGGTTGATTTTAATTTAAAAATATTGGAAGCAACCTCAAGTACTTTAAGGTTAATGGGCAAACTATAAATATCTTACATTTAAAAAAAAGGGGGGAAATCACTTTCTACTTGCATCTGTCCAAAGAATTACCTTCTCCGTGTATTCTGTCAACTGTAGTCTCTTCAGTAATTCCTGGGTTGGAAGGAAGTGACAATTTGTGTCCTACAAAACCCAGCTCAACTCAGAAAGCTATTCTGAGCTTACATGGTCACAAAACTGGGATAATATGTGTACGATTCCTACTTTCCTATCCCATTCCCAAGAAGTTGAAAAATCTGCTTCAAACACGCAAGCTTCTGCAAGACTCAGTAGGGCAGCTGGCCCAGAGTTGCCACCTAAACTGCTTTACACCTAAATGGTGGCTTGAATTTTTAAATGCACCACACTGAGGCATAAGTCTGAGACATTTGATAACACAACTGTTAGACCTTGAAGCTTTCTATGCAAATGAAATACCAAGTAATTGTGTGCTGCAAGAATGTTATTTCCTATTATTCATTAGAAAGCTGTGAGCTAATTTCAAAGGCCTTGCATACATACAAAAAGAAAATGTCAATTAAATAGGCTGATCAAGCTTTTTTAGTTAACAGGAGGAAAGAGAATTGCTACTATTTCCCACAAGTTGCTGAAGTTGCTGGGATTTTCACACATGATGCTTTTGTATAAGTCTCAAAGAACAACATAGAGAGAATGACCCTATGTGTAAAAACTAAGAGTTCCACCAAGTTTCACACCAGAAGGCTGAAAAATTGACACTTGCCCACACAATTGTACATGTTTTTGAAATGTGTGAACTGTTTTCACCTGAAAAGAAAATTACTACATGCAATATAGGACTGTTGGAACTGAACTAGGTATTTAGGAACTGAAAGTCTATAGGATAGACATGACTGTTGAAGTCTACACTTCTGGCTTGTCCGCCTCTCCCCACCCTTCCCCTTCTCCTTGTTGTAGCATGCTGTAGGGAAATCAAGATAACCCAATGAGATTAAAGGCTGAAGCACAGCAAAGAGCAATTTTCCAAGTGACTGATTTTGTTCCTAAAGTCTAATCTACACTGGGCTCATTCTCTTGTTCTTGTAATGAGTACTTTTGCACTTCTCCTCAGAAAGCACACTACATGCATCAATCCAAATTGCTGCTACTGCATCAGAAGAGGGAAGCTGAGTTTGGAAAAGTATGTGTAAGTGAGGAAGGATGAATGGATGTCCTTGAAGAATTCCTGTCTGCTTTGGGTTCCTCTTATGCCTACTATGAATTAGCATCCCCTGACATCTTTCCCTGGGCTCTCAACCACGCTTCCCAACCACAATACAATAATTTGGCATTTGCTTTTTCATATGCCAGTGTAAGGAAAATGTGATGACTGACCCTGGCTAGAGGGTTATAATTGAATTCCACCTGTTTCCACTCAGAGGAATGTGCATTATATGTAAGGCAGAACCATCAAAATGTCTACTAAAATGTCCTGGCAGAACACTCACCCCAGTTTCTTGACATATTCCAGATACCCAATAAGGATTTCATGATAAACAGCAGTCCGGAGGCATCTTGGGCGAAAGAAATGGATACTGTCTAAGTAGGAGATGTACACACGCCTGTGACAAAAGGGAAAGTAAACTCAGCGGTTGAGCAATTGTTTCTTTGATTTACATCCTGCCTTTCCTTCAGAAGCTCATGGCCTCTCTAGCTGGATTACTGTAATTTACTTGACATAGGTCTGGCCCCGAAGATCTTCTAGAAAGTTGAGCTGAAAATGCAGCAGCCTCCCGATTATTAGGCAGTCCCAGAATTGCCACATTCTATCACTCTGGGAAATGGTGTCTTTCTGAGTGCAATTTGAGGTCACTACCCATAAAGACCTATACAGCCTGAGGCCTGGGTATCCAAGAGATCATCTTTCCCACTCAGTCTGGATGATCAGGTGCCCCTGCCGGAGGTCCCTCAGATTGTGGGGTGCAGAGGGATAGGGCACAAAACAGTCATTCTATGTAGCTCATCTCCGCTGGAACAGCCTGTCCCCCAAAGTGAAGGGGGAGACTTTCGTGGCCTTCCAAAGGTGTCTGGGAATTGACTATGTGGTGTTATTGACACCGGAATGGCTTACTGTTTTGTATTGCAGTACTGTAACACTTATGTGTTTATTATATTTTAGATTTATACACTGCCTTGTGTCCCTCAAGACTGAGGCAGTTAATAAAATTATATATAAATAAAAAGCACTTCCTCATCTAATTTCCCCCCACAACTACAACCATGTGAGATAGCCTGGGCTGAGACTGAATAACCAGAATCTGGTAGGAAGCAAAGCAAGACCTTGTGTTTGGAGGTGGACAATCCCATCCGTATTCTTGCACATGCATGCCAAAAAAGCAGACATCCACACCATCAATCTCTTCAAAAGCAAAAAGAGCCTTTGTTCGGTAGGGGAAGGCCTCAGCCATTTCACGAGAATCTACAAATCTACAAGAAAGAGGAATCCACACCATTTTAAGGAAGATAAAAAGTTGAGGAATTAATGATTAGAGCTTAGAAATAAATATCTGTCCTTGAGCAGGGTTATTGGTTATTGGTTTATAATAGATGAAAATGGCAAACACAACCTCCACTCAAAGGCTGTTCTTGTAAACAAGGTTCATTGGGCCCTGCATTTGGCATAAAGTGCCCAGCTGCTTAGAATTCTTCTTTAAAGGGCAAAGAGAACTGAGAATGGTATTTCTGAATTTTTCCCAAGCAAAAGCTTGCTCTACCTGCTAGCTGTTGTGAGAGTCAGTTCTCACATAAGCCTGAGAAAAACAAGATAGCAGATCTGACCATTACTAAAACAAAGGCTAGGCGGAAACCAGGTCTCCCCCACCCCCCAAAAAGGGGGGAGCACGCAATGGCTTGAACATTTTCTATAAGGATGGGTGGCTTGCTGTTAAAACACAACAACTGCTTTTATTCATCTGTTGTGACTTCTATAGTAACTCTTTTTCAGTAAAATTACTCATCTGGAGTTCTTGTAGCTAACCTAATTCATCCTAGTCTTGCCTGCTAGTTGTTGTCATCTGCACAGCATACAAGGCTTTCTGGTTCCCAATATATAAAATACCCTGCTCTGAGACTATGCAGACAAAATTCTAAGATGATGATGATGATGATGATGATGATGATGACAACAACAACAACAACGATAGTGAAATGGCATTGTCACAAGAAATTAAAATGTTAGTTGTTTAAATAAAGGAAGAGATTATAGAGAAATGGATTCAGCCAACTGGTTATGGTAATGAGATGAATCCAGTAAAAGAAAAGCAAAACTCACCTAGATTTCATTCCTGGTTTCACTTCTACTGTTTTATCTGAACTGGCTACTACTCTCACAAAGACTTCCCCAGCTTCTGGATGATTCTGTCGTCGCAAAAATTTATTTACACGCTCTTCCAAATGATTTCCTAAACGAGTAGTCTGTAACCCTAGTGGGTGGGGAGGAGGAAGGGAAGAACAGAAAGAGATCATCCTGTTCATCTGCTATATTTCATTACATCAATATTTAGGAATAAAGGTAAAATTAACATCCTTTATGGTAAGTAACCTCCATAGGAAATCCATGAGCTTGTTTCCAAATGTTAAAGGAATAGCCCTTATTACTATGGAACATTGCCTCGTAATAAAAACATATGAAGCCATCACCAAAAGCAGGGGCTTGCAACACAGATCAGGAACCAGAGAGGATAGGGGTGGGAAGCTGACTGGGGCAGTGACAAGCAGTATTCATGTGATCAGGAACAGACCATATGAAAACACACTCTTGGAGGCACAAGCACCAAACGCTTCACAAGGCTTGCTGTTTCTAAAACTGGGAATACTAAAAATGCTCCTGTCTTCTGCTGGGGGAACAGAGTAAAAGGTCCAAGTAGTGGAGTTCTGCTTTATATTTAGATCTGCAATACAGTTATTTTTCCCACTCCACTACTTATTTGAATCAAAATAAGATCCAAATATGAATAGCCTTCCACAGTGTTACCTTTTTTTTAAAAAAAAAGTTAAAATATTTTAATAATGGGATACTTTAAAAGATGCATTAAGAAATTATATGTAAATATAGTAATATGCAATAAAGGAGGTCATAAACTTACTTTTGGCACTGAATTTATTCTCTTTGCGTGTTCGGCCAGTTTTCTTCAAGCAGTTGTCACACACGAAACTAAAACACAACAAAAAGTTAATAAATGTATCCTGAGCTGAAAATATTATAAAAGGTTACAGAAAGAAAGAAAGATTTACTTAACAAGATATCACTTTCTTCATAAAGAGGAAATGTGCCAAAGGGCACTGTGTTTTCTTCTCACCCGTGGGGCATTTTTAACTTGGAGCTGAAGCCCACCTTAACTCCTGAAGAGCTGAGATGAACAGGGTTCGTGGGACTACCCTGGCAGAACATGGAAAACAGCAGCTTTACTCACTGCAAGGCTGATTCCAGTGACTTGGGCGGATGGCTGAAAGGAGTGTTAGACTTACAAATAGCCCAGGTCTCTTAGCCAATGGACGATGAAGCAGAGAATGTGCAATACTCAGCTCCAAATGCCATTAGGATCTGCACAGAGGAGCTCTTTGCATCCTAGAGCATCTGTCAAAGAGACTACTACAGGCAATTTCTTGTCAGCTGGGTACCTCGTTCAATGCTCCAACAGAACTGGTGTTGAATCCGTCCAGGGCTGTTCTCATTCTGCATTAAGGGCACTTCCTTGACGTACTGTGACATGTGCACCACATCAGGTGTCACGCACATGGAACCTGGTACTACATTAAACCTGGCATGTTTTTATTATTCCTCTAGGAAATTCACAGAATGCCTTTACAGTACAGACCATTCTGAGATGGCCTGGCCTGATAAAAGGCAGCTGCCTACATGATTCACAGTAGACTGATTCTTTTCTCAGATTCAGACAAGATGTCACCAAGTGCCTTCTCACTTGCATTAAAAAGCACAAGAGAAACCAGAGCCTATGGGAAACCCACAAACGGGGTAACAAGACTGCAGACCCCCAAAGCCTAATGTTAAGGAACTGAGTAGTTCCTCAGAAGCAAGTTTAGCTCTAAGCTTCTAAGCTCATTATGTAGAAATGACTACAAATATATAAAGACTATATATTTCTTAGCCCCTAAAAGGCATTTTACTAGAGATGGAGCAAAGTAACTCTTGGCAAAATAAACAAAGAGAATTTAAAAGCGGCATTGCAACCACATACAGTATCACAGACATGCTGAGCAGATCTTCCCAAAGCTGATCACAAAACAAAGATATTTTTGTTGCAAATCACCTGCATCTACATAGAATTTTGAAACTCGTGTAATGTTCACAATATTAAAACATGATAGCTCTCAGAGCCACTTACCCAGAAGGCCAAATAATATCGTAGTGTAATGCGCATATCTGGTGCATTTTCCGGCCACATTCTTTGCAATCAACAAAACTGAACAAGGTAAGAGAACAAGTTTTAACTTCCTTGAAACAAAAATACATATTAGATACATATTTGTTCCTCAATATTGTTAAAGTGTTGAAAGTGTTTCTGCATGACATTGTTGTTTCAGGCATAAATAGATTTCTGCATGCATTCCTCTCTAAATTATTGGATTTTGACATTATTTTTACAGTTTCCCTGCAATAGTTTCCCCCACTGATTCTTACAGTAAACTACCTAAATTTGAGGCTCGGTTTTGCAGCTACTGCTCCAACAGAATCACAGTATACTTACGGCTCAGGATCAAGTGTGTCATTTTTTTTCTTCTCAAAATGATCTTTTGAGATGGTTCTGCAGAGAAAAACACATAATAAATTAGGACATGCTTTGGTTTAGCTACATTATAGGCTATAAGTATCTTTCCCTAAACAAGACAGCTACATACAACAAAGCTGTGTATGCTTCAGAAGATTCCTATAACGTCAGTCAAGCTGGAATTTGTCACCTGGTATTCTTAGACAAGGATGGCTTGTAATCTCCAGTTGTAAGAATAAACCCAAATCAAATTGAATATTTAAGCCAAGATGAAAAAAAAAACCTGTTACAATTTGTGTGTTAAATTCATTGTACAATGCTTGCAGGAAAGCACATAAACTATCACTAAAAAGGGTCTTGAGGTTTGTAACTGTGAGGACAAGCTAATTTAAGCACTGGTTGGTTTCTTTCTTTGCTTTAGTGCTCAAATAATTCATTTTTGACAATATGTTTTAAAGACAGGACTATTTATTCTCCATGTATTCCAGAATGTGATGCTGAGAACAGTGGTGTGCAAAGTGTTCATAGCCGAATGGGATTTGAATATGAGTCTTTTAAATTGAACATTCATGAAATGTTGCTCAGTGCTGAGGATGAAAAATGGGTGGCTGCCATGCCAGAAAATGGCAAAAGAAGCAGGTTCTGCAGAGAGGACAAGACTCCTTGTATGCAGCAAAGCTGCAGCTCAAGAGTTTTCTGCAAACACAAGGAGGTGACAGTATACTATGAGAAGGTGTGCCTGTTAGTCTCTTGGTTTGCTATGTCTGATGTTCCTAAACTATGACTGAAACTGTTCCTTCCTTAGTTTATACTCAGCATTTAAAAAAGCGAAACACTTACGTTTGTGGCTGGGCAGGGTCGTCACCCAGGGTAACGTTTTCGCCCTGGATTTCAGTAAAACATCTCTCACAGAAGTGATACCTGTCAGCGAGAAGGCCATATTTGGGTGAACTGGTCCACCAAAATACATAGCCACCCAAGCAATGGAACCACCAATCAGAGCAGGGCAGATCACCACGACGAAAGGGGGAGCGTTGTTTGTCGAATGATGGGCCAGTGTGGACAATGAAAAGGAAAAGAGGAGGGGGAGGGAAGGGTTAGAAAAGAGGGAAGGGGACAAACAGCACAGACAGAAGTAGTAAGACACAAACACCAAGACAACACAGAGTAGAAAGCCAAGGCAAAGTGCAGGTTAGCATTCGGTCTCATTCCACTGGTGATAAAGGGGAGCTCCAAAATTCCAGGCTTCTTGTGGAGTAGCCTCAAAGGACATCAATCTGTATAGTCTTTCAGCTGAAGAATTTGGATTCTGTTTAATCATAAAGTATTCTTTAAAGCAAGCAGTTACTAAATATGATTTTACTGCAGCCAAAATAGGTTTATTGCAATATTTATGAATACAATAGAAATAGGAATAGTTTTAATATTGCCCACTGTACCAAACTGTGTTTGAAGAAGTTATTTTAAATGTGACCAACTGCTCAAATTAAATGCATATTATATAAACAAAACCAAGACCATATTTTAAACAAGCATGTAACCAAAAACCATTTTCCAGTCTATGTAAAGTTTATAAATTCATATGAACTATTTACATAGTTTATATTGTAATAACACACAACATAATGAAGTGATATATTAAGGTTTTGCAAACTGAAACAGACTGGTTTCCATTTTTGTTAACTAGAATGGAGATTAGCCAATTCTTTGTTGGTTTAAGTTAAGCAAAGATGAGTAAAGGAAAGTTATAACTTGCATTTGAATAAGTCCAGGTCCACATTTTTACTTTTAGAAAATCTGGAAGCAAAACTGTATCAGTATAAGACAAACCTGGCCAATGTATGGAAAAGGTATGAACTAAAACACAAAGGCAGGCAACCAATACAGGTAATTGCAATCAACAGAAAAATAAGCATAGTTACATTTTTAAAAACAAGAAAAGAAAAAGATATAAACATCCATGGGTATGTTTAGAACAACAACGCTTGTTCTAATCATCACAGTGAGCCAACAAAAAGGAGAATCAAAAGTAACATGGTGGCTGCTCTCCACACTATCAAATTATACACCTGTTAAGCACTGTCCAAGACTGCCTTTTTGTGCAGATGGTGATTTTTAATGGATTACTTTGCTGGAAACAAGCTACTCATAGTTTACAAAGAAAAATCAAAGGCTGGTTTGCAAAGCGTAACAAAAACAGCCCACAGTCAGACAGCTAAACCATGTCTTCATCAATAATCATCTTGCCCAAAAACAACAACAACAGCAGCAGCAGCAGCAGCAGCAGCAGCAGCAGGCAGAAGCAGATTGCCTGGTTAATAGCAAGGTTGATTCTGCCACACTGGTCACCAAGATTATCCAGATGTTTTATCAAAGAGAGTCACTGTAACAGACCAAATCCAAACTGGTTGCAATGAGGTCCAGCAATGTGTGTGCCAAAGCCAGGCAGCCCACCATCTGCCCCTTTAGATGTTTTCTCCACATTTTTAGAAGCACTCTTTTGCTTCTGTCTGCAATGTCCAAGACTCCCTTTTTCCTTGCTAGATACAGGACATCGTGAGAGGGCACCCATATAGTCAGTGAGACAAAGCATTTGTCTCACCCACCTATATGGGTAAAAGCATCCCTCAGTCAAAGCGAAGCCTGCAAGACATTCCATCTCTTCCAAAATAAACAGCTGCAGAATTCTGGTGGACAATATTTCAACCCAAGCACAGAGGGCTGACATCCCATACAGCACATACTACTCGAGAGCCTCCAAGTTGAATTCAGCTAGGTCTTGTTGCCTGCCATGCGCATCCTTTATTGGCAGGCTGCAATAAAGGGACAGTGGCAGGGAATGCAGAATTAGGCTTAGTCACACATTATACAGAGCCCAGAGATCACAGTGCAGGTGGACATGATGTAGGGGAGAGGAAGCATTCATCCAACAACTAATCAACGTTAATTTATTATTTCTTTCTTATTACCCCAAGAGCAGCAACCCCCCCAAAATATCCTAAATAAATGAGAGTGGTCTCAGATGTCACCACATTTTCTGACAAGAGGAAACTCCTCCTAGATTCCAGCAGGAAGAAGTGGCAAGCGGACAAAATCAAATCTTAGCCCTTGCTTCTGATCCGGGCAGGAGGACACCAAGACTCACCTGTTCTGGTAGCTGTAGTAGGCAGCATCTCGGGGGATAGTGCACAGCTGCTTGCCATAGCAGCACAAAGTCTGAGGAGAAAACTCGTACTACAAAAGAAAAAGAATGGCAAAGAGAACAGTTTGCTACATGAAAGAACTACACATATGCACAAGCAATAATACTTTCATGCAGTACAAATGATTAGTTTAATGTTTGCTTTAATATCTCATAGGACACCCAAGATACCTTCTCCTTTCCTTACAGAGGAACTGGAAGAAGGCCCATGGAGGACACTCCGTTCTTGCAGGTTCTACTTGTATAATAAACATCTCAGGACTTAAGAAACAAGTCTGCAGTTCCCTAAAGTCATTAAAGAACCTAAGTACAATGTCATCTAATAAGAATGCAAAAATTAGCTGCTGTCTTACTAATGTTACTTTTATTAATCAATCTGTATTGTAAGAATATTACATGAATAAGGAGTTGGATGCTATTTTTAATCCCCTCCTAATAGCTGGGATATTCAGTTTTAAAATACATAAAATAAATGGATAGAAGCACAACATTCTAAATTAAATATATAATTTCATATAAAATGCTTGGAATACTGATTTTTATGGCATTAAAACACTTTAGCATTACCTAAAACTTTTTCACTCATACGTACAGCAACTACACTATTCATTCTACAGTTAATTTACACATAGTATGTAAATTATTTTACACTCAGTGTAAAGTAATTTAGAGCCTCTTTTGGAAAAAACATCAAAAAGGCCTCACTTGCTCAGCTGGGGCTCATATAGTCCAGAAATGATGGGCATATCAAAACCAGCTGAAGGAAATACAGCAGTTTATATTTCCCTCTCAAAAGTGGAAGAGAAGCTCATTATTAAACTGATTTTATAATTGTAAGATTTCTGTAAAACTAATACATAATTCTCATAAATTCATCTATTCATTACAAGAGTTTTGATAAATTCCTTTATTTACATTACATATTACTCCTGCTCAGAACCTTACAGGTTAAAACAAGACTCTGGGCAAAATGAGAAAAATCCTTTTCATTTATAAACTTATTTTCATAGGTACAGTGAAACCAAACACACCTTGCGGCCACAACAGTATCCTAAGGACTGCATAACAGGGTCAATTTCTTGTTCAAAGACCTCTGCAAGCTTAGTGCAAAATTTATAGACTCTTGATGTTTTGCGGTTGTAAAGCCAGGCATTATTGAACATTAGCCAGACATCATCCACATACTGCCACGGCTCTTGGTATTGCCCTGTATCCAACTTGCGTTTAATTGTGGAAAGATCCATGGGGTTCTTCACAATGTCAAAATAATCCTTTGAATGTAAAAAAGAAACAAAGAAAAGAAAAAAGAAACATTAGGTTAGCTTGGCAGTTGAAATTTTTTAACTGACTATAAGAGTTTATGGGCAGAGTCTGAAGACAAGTGTCCCTTTTCCAATGACTTCCAGCTTTTGTCAATGATGTATAAAATACTAGCTAGGTAAAAATGCATGGCAGGTCCTGGAGCAAAAGAGGCTCCATTATAGGAGAGGGAAGAGAAAAGAGTAGAAATGCTGCTCTTGTGTGCAAACTTCCTTTCCTTTTTTGATGGTGGTAGAACTGGGCATGCACCCCTTTCTTCAGCTCAAAACAGGCAAAGTTGGAAACAGGACAGCTGCTGGTAGAACTCCTGGAACCAGCCATGTGGGCTATCTAATCTCTTAACTTAGGAAAACTGCAATTTAACAGTCAGAATTCTAGGCCAATCTGGCCAGACAGTGGTATACGTTTGTAAAAGGAAGCAATTAATTTACTGGTCATTTCCTTTATCAAGCTTCCAAAGTTTCCCTCTGGAAGATTCTCCTCTTGATTCAAGAATGATACCAAGGAGAGGAGGGGCTTCTCTCAGTTCCCAGGCCAATTCCTGAGCCTGGAAGAAAACCCCACTTCCCCACTCAATAAGGGAAACCCTCCCTTTCCTCATCTTCTGTCACACACTAGATACATCCTTTTGGAGGATACCTCCATTAAGGTGGCAACAAAGCACCTAAAGAATATATCCATAAAATAAATGGATTGTGCACTGCCTTGTGTCATTCTGGAGAGGGCAGCTATATAAATTGACTAAATAAATGAATAAAAACCCCATCCCTCCCATTCCTGGCTTTAACCACTTAGGAGTTACTTATTTATGCTTAGGAGTTATGTTTAGATAATCATCAAAGAGAAATCCTATAAGTTATGGAACTAGCAGAGTTGACCAAATTTTGAGGGGCAGGGGGAGAGAACCTTAAATGTTTTTGACAGGGACACGGGATAGATTTGCTGTATTGACACAAGAAAAGCCACCAGAGAGATAGAAATCCTGGAACTCATAAATAAGTTTGTTTGAGCAGAATGAACCTCACTGGGACTTCGGGGGGACCAGAATCCAGGAAAAAGAGAAAATTGAAGGTTTTTTTTAAAGATCTGTGTAACACTATCCTTTCTTGCTTTTTCCAGAAAAGGCAAAACAATGAACTCTGATCTACAGTTCAAACTGATTGTGGAAACAGAAGCAGCATATGTAAGGATACATGATGACAGCTTTACCCCACTGGCCACCAGCTATGGTACACCCCTTATATTTTGTACAACCAGCAATTGCAAAATTAATTCAATTCCTTGAATTCACCTGTCAGAATTTCTACTTAAGAGACAACTACTTTGCTGTCTTCAGCTCTGGCAAAAAGTATATACCTGTGAGTATGCACAGATGAACATGTCTAAATTTGCACGTATTCTGTGCATGCACATTTACTGTTTGAATGTATGTAAATCTACTCTGACACTGAAGATCTATTATAATAAGCTGGTTGGTTAAACTAATCCCAAAGTCTACTATGTAAACAGATTGACTGACATAGTTCTAAAATACATTCCCAGTTGGATTTGGACTTAGCCGTCTTGCTTTTGAATAAAGATCTCATGCCCTCTGGTAGATGGCCCTTGTAGCCACACAACTCAAAGAAATGAGAATGATTAATTCTTTAAAATCCTGCAACCCCAACTGCTATGCTGACTACCTTCCAGGTTGGCTTGTTGATACCCAATAAAAAAGTAACTCCTAAGTGGTTAAAGCCAGGAATGGGAGGGATGGGGTTTTTATTCATTTATTTAGTCAATTTATATAGCTGCCCCCCTTCATGGATCACTGCCTTGTCGTGGCGAAGGGGCTTGCGTAACTCAGTGAAGCCATGAGCTATACCGTGCAGGG